TTGGAACATCGCCTTTTGCCCGCCTCATTCGCCGGACTAGCCGCACAGCACTGGTATCAACATTGTTCTTTGTGCAGCTTCTGCTGCCGATAAGCCTGTCGCCTGCTTTGTTCGAGCCATTCTGTGCCTTGCCCTTTGTGTCGCCGACTGTTATGCTGCCATAAACCCGCCCGCCCGATAAAGTAGCTCGCCTGCAGTGCCTACGTGGTTTGACTTGTCCATCTTTTCGTCGCTCGTGACTCTTGTGCCACTTTATTGTGAGCGCCATGCCGCTCGTGAATTGGAGCAAGGCTACGCTGGAGTACCTTGCGGGCTTTACAGCGGATTTCCTCCATGAAAAGTTGTCTCGCCGAAACCTTGACTCTGCTGGGTCTAAAAAAGAATGAATAAGCCGTCTCATAATGGATATTGCCCAAAACCGCACAACGACTCCTCTTTTGCCTTCCCCAGACACCTCAGCGGCCAGCCAGCACCCAAGTGCCACGCCACTTCCATCGAGCTTCGATGCAGCACAAAGTACCGAGCTTTTGACGTGTTCACTTCAGCAGCTCCTGCACGTGTCACAATGCGCTGTAGTCCCAGTCCAAGTCACCACCAGTCCAAGTCACCACCTGTCCACTTCGCTTCCCTTGTACAGTGGAGACAGCAGCATTTAAGCGTCCGAGTAGATTGAAAAGTTAAAACAACCTCGAAACCTGGCTTCATGGGAACCTTCAACATTATGTGTCGTCGCTCTGGGAAAACTTCGTGAAGCAGCCACGGACTGGAAAGCTGTCATTGGCTGTCAGTGCCCCACCTGGGAAACTTTCAGCCAAGCATCGTGGATCAATTCAGCGCCAGGCATCCACAGTATTCAAGCACCACAACACCAAACCCACAGGTTTCTCGCCACAGTGAAGAGTGCACGAATCTTCAGGCCATATCCCACAAAACAAGCCAGCCACAGCAAATTTCAGCTCTACCACCAGACCAGCAAGAAGCTCAATACCTCACCATATCTGTGAAGCATGCTGCTCCAGTTCACCGCCCTGGCCATAACTTTGCTGAAGCCGTGTGTTTTAAGTGCCACCAAAAGGGACATCTCGCATCCAAGTGACCATCTAGAGCTACAGCCCCAACGTCCATAGCCTCTTCAGCTCTTCAGAGTACCCTAGACCCTGCATGAACCGCTCGTTCAGTGTGCCCTTGTCAAAGCCACAATTGCTCGGATTGGCGTAGTGGATGCATTTCTTGATTGTGGATCCAAAGTGACTCTTGTTTCTCGTCACCTGGTCAACTTTTTGCCTCTTCTACTCTGGACCAAACCCCCTCTGGTTGTCGTTGGTGGAATGACAGTGACTCCAACAGGTGCCATCTGCTTGAAGATATCTGTGGGACCCATCACTGGTTTGGTTGAAGCCGCTGCCCTTGATAGTAATGCCGTGCCACTTATATTGACTAAAGACTGATTTTCTGCCTGCAACGCAAAGTTGGTGTTCCAGCCATCCATGCCAACTGAAATTTGCCATTCCCCAACAGGAACAAGTGTATGGTGCCATGAACAATTGTTGCCCAGTATGTCATGATACGCTGTCATGATACAGGGGTCATCTTTCAATATCCATGTACATGGACACCACAGCTGATTAGGCCTCCAGCAAATGCCACTCCGAGGCCCAGATGAACCATCGTGGTTAGCACCATCTTGCCAAGAGGTTTCAAACATCAACAGCCAGTCTTCTGAATGCAAACAAGCTGCTTCAACGACTGCAGTTTGCATTGACCCTTTCCTTGCCGCCGCTCAGCTTAGTAGCACGAGTGTATCAACTACATCAAGCATGCATGCTTCATCTACACCAACACCCAGTCCAACAACAACACTGAGCTCGAGTACAACTACGACAAGGCCAAGTCCACCAAGTACGCAGAGTTTAACTCCAGCAACGTGAACTACCACTACTGTGAAACGTAGTCCCATGGGTTCAACAAAACCACCTTCAAGTGTGACCCCGGCTTCAAGGCCGACAACACCAACAATGAGTACAGGGACTACGACGGGCCACAGTTTGACAGCTATGCCATGCCCCAGGACCCCAACTGCACCGATATTAAACCTATCAGCCAGCCAAATCCCTAGCCCACCAGCTATGCTGACTTCTAGCATAACTACACCAATACTTAGTCCACCAAGCACATTGAGCCAGAGCCCATTGACTACGCAAGTCTGAGTCCACCAGCTACATCGAACCCAGGTCCACAAACTACGCCAAGCAAGGATGCGCCAACTACGCCGTGTCCCAACCTCCAGTTTCCACTGGCTCTGCAGCTTCGCCTCCAGCGACACCTTCATCGCGGCACCATCGCCAAAGGCTCTCACCAGAGCACTTCAAGCACTACCTTTCACAGTGAAGCCATCAAAAAGGACTTGGTCTTACAAGGAGGGGCCAAATGTGAGCGCCTGCATGCACAGTGGCATAGCATCCGATTAGTAGCACTACCTACGGCGCCCATACATCAGCTCAACGACAGGCCAAAGTGTGTGCCGGGACTTTAGCTGCTCTCACTCCCGCCTGAGGTGCAGGTTCACATTTTTAATTGCGAATAAAAGCCTTTGTTTGGTACTGCCATGCCTCAGCCTTTATGCCTGGCCCACCTAGCCCTCACAAACGTGGTGCATGTGACATATCTTCCTTGCCGCTGTCATTCCCCTCTGCTTAGCTTCCAGCACTTTCATCAGGACGGGAAAAGAGAGAATGCGATTGCAGCATGCAGCAAATCTTTGTAGCTCCGCTCGTACTCGATGAATTCTTACATTTTTTGTGGCATAAAAAAGTGTTTCAGGGCCCCTTTGAAAGTGCGCAGTTTGAGGCCAAGTGGTTATTCTGTGCACATTATTATTAAAATACTAACAACCCATTCGGTGAGCATTGTTAAGCCTTTTTGCATTTTAAAGGGACACCCACTGCGTGCTTATGAGTCAATTGAGCTGCCATTACGATAAACTCAACACGTTTCATTGAAATACGGTACTAAACTCAACACGTTTCATTGAAATACGGTACCAATACATGTATCCAATCATCTATGGCTAGTTGCATGCAGCACGTCGCTTACTCGGCTCATGCCATCACTGCTGGGCAGTTTGCAGTGTACCGTTTATGTGATTTTTGTGCGTTCTTTGTGCCTGCTTCACTGTAGACCATGCACAAGGGCGTAGATGGGATTGTTTGTTCAACGCGACGAAGACAATTATTTTGCAATGTGCTCTTCTCTGTGAAGCTTGACGGTTTTGCATGAATGCACGGCATGATTGGACTGTCGCCTAATAAGATATGCAGTTGTCACGAGGAAGAGGCCTTCAGATGCAGAAAGATGATGAAAAAGTTTTGAGAACGCAGTAGAGTACGCTTGGAAAACTCTAGAAGCCGGAGGCGTGTGAACCAGGATGCAAGAAGAAAGATGTCAAAGATGGCAGTGTTTGAGACCATATTGTGGAGAAAACCAAAGTGCATGACCCGAGGTATTGTTGTGATGCAACCCACGGCGCACTGGCATTATCTACGTGGGCTTGCAAGGAGGTCGTCTCGCCAGCAAATGCACTGGCAACGGCAGGCACAGGACTTTGACTCTGAAGACTGGGATGTGGGCGTCTCGAGAGGTGGCCAGAGATCGTGACGCAGTTCGAGTGAGGCTGTTTGGGACGCAGCAATCATGCACAGAATTACCGACATTCGTGGTGCAAGCCTCCTTTTAGGCAAGCTGCCAAAGGAGCCACTTCGGCTCGTAGCACTGGATATCGTCAAACGCCATTACGCCTCTGCTCAGAGGCCTCCGCCATGTCAGCAAAAACGTCATGGAAGAACTACAACGGGTGATGTTTGCAGCAGCAAGGACGGCGACATTCATAAAGAATGTTGAGAACTTTGACAGGGATGCAACATGACCTATCACGCTTTTGACTGTATTGCTTGTTTGTATGGGACAACTGATACCTTTTTCTTTACTTGAAGATCTCGATGGGTGTTTGATTGGTTCAACTTTATTGCAGCATTTTAGCAACTGAAACAAGAAGGTGGTGGTGATAACTGGCTGCCCTCAATCTACCGATATGCAAGAAGCTTTCACAATTAGAATGAGGACAAGACTGAATAGGGTTAACCATGTACCGACGTGTACAGCAGGAGAGGCTTTCTGGCGCATAGCTCGTAGCTCTGACGCATGTGGCGGTTCAAAATGAGATAGTCTTAAATCAGGATATTTGAGCGCATTGTTCTCAGCAAGCATATCAAGGCATTCCTCAAAAAACGGCCAAATGTCCTAACGGAAAGATTAATGACGAGAAATGGCAGAAGAGCAGTTTTTTTTTTTGTTTTAGATGAGAAAAATATTTTCAAGCTGACCATTCAATAAAGTTTCCTTTTTGCCACTGTGCAGTAGTGTATCATGGCAGAATTCCAGTGTGTGGTGGCAGCAACAAATGCAGTTTATACTACTATGTGTCACTTATTGGCTGGATGCAATGTCAAAAGCAACAGAAACCATGACCAGTACTTGGACCTTTAAGCTTAGGGCAGGTACTGTTCTACTGCCTTAGAGGGAGAATTTTAGTATATAAAGTTGGTGTCATGCGAGGCAGTTCTAGAGCATGGTGTTTGGCTTCTGGTAATCAAGTTATGTGACTTTACATAAATGAAAGTTATGGTGCTGTCCTGGTACAGCACTTTGAGTCAGTATACAGCTTCATAAGCTTTGCCGACATATCTTATGCCCACCTTTGCACATAGCATTCTGTCATAAGGCCTTGAAATACAGGAACAGCTGTAAGACACTGCATACAGGCTTGGGAAGGTGTTCCCATTCTCAAAAAGGGTTTGGCCATGGCTCTCAGAGCTGCCATGGTCAGCTCGCCTACTGTGCATCTCTGGGGCTACTGTGGTGGCAAAGAAGCTCACTACAGTTGTGATGGTGAGCATGTGTGACTGCATGACGGTACAGTTGATGGGGCCTGAAATGACGTGCAGGCATCAGTTTGGGCGGCCCTTGGCATGCAATCAGCTGGTGCAAAAGAAGCTGGCTGACATGGTGACCGAGATCTCTCTGGGCCTGCAAGCCTGCTTGCGCGTGGGTCGCCTCTTTGATGAGGGAAGGTAAGAAGTTTGCATGCTTCACACTTGAGGCTTTTTTATTAAGATGTGTACCATATGCGCAGTTGGTTGGTTGGTGTTTTATCAGCTGTACTTGTACGAGTTGAGCGCACGAAAGCACACATGCAGAAAAGAAAGCTCTACACACACAGGCGCTGCTAACAACATCAGGCAAGGGTGGCGATGTATGACCAACCAACGAGCCTGCATCACCAACATTATCAGCTGTGCCTGGTGTCCCTTTGTTTACGCTGCCCATTGTTGGCATGATGAGGGTATTTGTGCAAGTGCACGGTCCTCTATTAAAAATAATTCTTTTTTTGGCTGCTTCAGGTGTAATTTGACAGTTTTTCCTCTCATTGTTCTACGTCTCTCTATCATCATATGTTGTCCGGGCTATGCTTGGCAGAAAATCTTTCTCTTTGTTCGGTGCACTGTTCCTTGGTATATTTACGAGCCAACATGTTCGATAATAGGTAAATAGTGTGCCTAGGGCTGGTTAATTTGAGGCCTTTAATGGTTTTGTGGTTTTGTATGCAGTGCATGTACATACTTGAGATGAAAGGTGTAGCTGGCAAGTTTCTGGGTTGGGTTCCTAGCATGTAGGAATTCAGTGTGACATCTGTGAGGTGCTAATTTCGAGTGTAAGTCACTGACAGGTTGTGGAGCGGCGTGTGCCGGCATGTTGTGGCTTGAAAGCTGTTGTAACTTTTCCTTTATTTATCTTTTGAAATTAATTTTTATTCGTCTCCCTTTGCTTCACTACTCTTGAACACCAAGAGCCATGCTTGTCTATCATCCAATCTCTTCTTTCCCTTCATCCACTGCTTACCGTCATTGACAGCAGCGAACACGACTTGGAATGACAGAGCTGAGCTAGTTGGTAGGTTGTGCTTGTTTGGTTGTGCTACGGGTTTTTTTGTTAGCCTAGTGTTGTTTTCTTAACTAGTTTACAGGCTTCATTGTAAACCTTGTTTAGAGTGTCTTGTGGGTAATTTCTTTCAACTAATGTTTCCTTTACGTTTCAATAAAGTGGTGGATGTATTCACGGTCGTCATTACAGATCCTTGTTGTATCCCTCGCTTGTCCGACGAAAATTCCTTGTTTGCAGTATTGTGGATGGTGACCAGTGTAATCTAGGTATTGTTGGCTGTCTGTCGGTTTTCTCTAAAGCGTCATCTTTAATTTTCCTGCTTCAATAAATACTGTCATGTCTAGGAAGTCAAGTTCATTGAGAGAATGGTGCATGTTAAACTTAATACTAGAGTGAAACTTGTTACAGGGATCAATAAATGCATTCAGTGCTTTTATGCTATGTCCCCATATATTAAATATGTTATCTATGTAGTGTAGATTTCAACAGTTTTGATTCTAAGTGTCTCATAAAAATGTTAGCGCAAAAGGAGTTCCCAAACTAGTGCCAAGACATTGTAGGACGAATCAAATTCAAAATAATCAATCGTTGTGCAAATGCCAATGGCAAAAAAAAAAAAAAAACATACTTTATTTCTACAAAGAACCCACACTGTTTTTGGAGTATAGCAGTGCACAGCAGCTGCTTTAGTGATTGGAACAGATGCTTTACCACATGGGAGTGATGACATATGTCGTGCATATTGATTGATTCAATCCAATAAATCGCTCATAAAATTTATACAATCTTAGATAGGCTGCACTATTGTGCACTAAAATTTATAAAAGCACTTGTTATGTTTTCTCAGATACAAAAGGATTTCTGTCTTTAAATATGAAAGTGTGGAAACAATTGCAAAAGGATGCTAGGAGAACTGCACAACGGCCACCACAAGGCGAGTCGACCAGTATGTCTCTGTGAGAGGCACGTGGCGATAGGAAGCGGCTTTTGACAATGGCAGAGTGAAATGTGAAAGAGAATGTGTTTGCTCATCATCTGTTAGGTTTCTGAAGTTTGAAGGTTAATAACAGCGACCTCGAGGTTCTACACAAGTTGACCAATTGTTTCTCAGTATTGAGGACTGCCACAGCAAAGCTACATCAATAAATCAAAATAGCTCCAGAAGTTTTCTCCCCTCCTACCCCTTTTACATTTGTATGTGTCTTCGAAAACTTATATACTCAAGCCCTTAATTACCTCCGAGTATTTCTGCTTGGGACAAAAGGTTGGGTCTTGATGTGAACATGATTATTAATGAAAAATTGTTTTTATTTAATAATGTGGCTCTACAAGTGGTTAATTGGCAGCTGTCAAAATTTATGTGATGTGTGTAGAGCATCTCTGATTGTTCTTTCAGCCTCTGTCCAGAGATGGTGTCTCTGGTGAAACGCAACTCATGTGGCAAAGCCCTGGACATAGCACGCACTGCCCGCGATATGTTGGGTGGCAACGGCATCAGTGACGAATATCACATAATCCGCCACGTGATGAACCTTGAAGCGGTGAACACATACGAAGGTGAGTAAACAGTGTTCCGCACGGCATATGTGCTAAACACGCTGACGTTTGCAGGAACCCATGATGTGCATGCACTGATCCTAGGAAGAGCTATCACAGGAATTCAAGCATTCTCAACAGACTAGACTGTGACTGGTGTACAATAAAGCTTGTTTTCAATCAGTCCACTTCACTATTAGTGCAGGCCACAACATTGCAAGAGCTGCCGATTTAGCAGCTTGGCAAGCCTGCTACTCCTTTGTTGTTGGCATAGCAATGGGTATCAAAAAATGTGTGCATTGTTTTCTAAGCTTGAAGATGTCTGTAGCCATAGATGGCTATCTAATCATTGGATAGCTGTGCTAATTGTTACGCAAAAGGACGTCTCAACAAGAGCTAGCTAAGACTTTTTTTGAAACTTGCTGTAATCACTTAGAAAATACAAAGTAAGCTATTATAACTGTCTTTGCAGCATGTTTGGTCGGCAGCCTGATAGCTACCATAGGAAGTTCGAGATTGAAGGAACTGAAAAGGAGCTCCTGCGAGAGCCCTTTCCTCTTTTTCTCCCACTTCCTATGTCAGTGGTCATGCAGGTGGCCAAAAAAATGAAACATCTCCAACAAACATGTTCATGCACGCCTGTTCTTACTATGGAATCTAAAAGTTTTCGCCGTTGAGTTTACTCATCCCTATTGTGGACCGAATAAAGTTGTTCCACTTCTTTATTCTTTAGTGCCATGTATCATAAAAATTAATAGCTACTTCATCACAACAAGTATACTATACAGTTTTCATGGAGAACACAATAGTTTGTGATAAATCTGAACATGCAGAGGTCTAATTGATGCTTCATGAAAGACATTTATCATCAGCAAGAAATTATCCCACGATGTTGTCAAAATGGCTTTATTTGCGAATAAAGTAGAACAGAATACTACACAAAATACTACAGAAGGCGACTGCACAAAGTCAAGCTGATTGCTGCGACTACAACGTAAATTCGAATTCTGCATGAATGCACTCCAGGTCCCTTCAGTGAAGCTACGTTGGCTTCTGCATTAGCTGGCATGGTCTCAGGCCCAGTTTTTTGTACAAACAGCAGTGAAAAAAAAGCATACAAAAAAAGCAAGTGTGCTACAGTGGGGGGGGGGGGGCTGATGACTGAAGCACGGTGCAGTCGATCACCTCATCGACTAAAGAAATAAACCTGCTGTTGCTCTTGGCAATGTCCTCTGCAGGAGGAGCAATACCCGTGACATCAGTCTGGAGCACACGTCCATTTGTGCTGGCTTATGTGCATCCACCTTTGAGGAGGAAATGCCGCCGACTTCTAAAGTTGCAGCCACCTATAGCTATACTTTGCAACATAATCAACAAAGTATCAAATCGTTCTAGGACTAATTTCTAATCGCAAATGTGCTGAAATTCTCTCGTGGATATAAAATGACAATCATTCCTAACTGGACTTGCAAAGCGAGGCACCTTTTGTAGAAGCATTGCACTATAGTGCCAGGCAGACATGGTTGTAAGTAAGCACTCGCACGCAAACACCCTCACACAAGCTGTAACTGGTCGGCGCTACCTGCTGTAACCCACAAAAGAACCAGATGACCCGAAATGAGAGTCAGTCTGGCTTGAAATTTGAACAGACACATCCTCCTTTAAAGTTTCTCGTTCAACGAAGTTTTCAACAACCAGCAAGAAAGTGCTGTATTTTATGTTTTAATTACGAGACAACTAAAATGTTGATGAAAAGTCAGGTGCAGTTAACTCGCCAAAAGAAGTTTGCTATCTGAACGTACGACCAGTATGGAGCTCCAAGCTGCAACCAAGATGGATAGCAGATCCGGCCATTCTTTTGAAACTGTCCACCACGGTGGAGCAGAGGTTAGGGTGCTCGGCTGCTGACCCGAAGATCAAAGGTTCGGTCCCGGCCGTCGCATTTCAATGGAGACATTTCAATGGTGGAGGCCTGTGTGCTGTGCGACATCAGTACACGTTAAAGGACCCCTGACAGCGAAAGTTTTGTGGGTGGCTTTTTTATGGTAATCTGTAGCTTTGCATATGGTAATGCTGAAATTGAATTGTGAATGCTCTAATGCACTATATAATTTGTGCTAGCATCGTTAATTCAGAACAATTTTGCATCACTTCGAGACGCCTGCCTGAATATCATAAAAAAGTAGCGCCCCACAGCGGGGCAGCGCCCGATACTACGTGCGCTCAAACTTCGGTGATGCTGAGCGCACTGCTTTCTAGTAGGGGGCCCAGGCGTTATTGAGAATGAAACGATGTAAAATTGTGGATGCTTTGAGCATGTCCTTCTTAGAAAAAAGAAAACCATTCCCGGCATAAGCAGCCAAAATTCCTTGAGGGCAGCTCAACAAACAACAGAGCGAGAGGAAGGACTAACAATAGTCCTCACCGGGTGCCAGTCTGAATATTGAAAGAAGGTAAATGAGATAGATACATGTAGGTACAGGAAAAAACATCCGCAGCAAAGGGAAAGAGGAATGCTGCAATAATAAAGCACAGAGTGTAATGAGGATGCTAGGTACGAAGTGCTTCGAGGTCTGTGGAAAGGTGTAGTGGTTCCAGGGCTTGTATTTGGGAACTCAGTGGTATGCATGAAGTCAGAGGTGCTGTCAGGAATGGATGTAAATCAAAGGACTGAGGGACGCCTCGCATTGGGCGCTCACGGGAAGACAACGAATGAGACTATAAAGGGGGATATGGGATGGACAGGTTTTGAAGTAAGGGAAGCTCAGAGCAAAATGAGATTTGCAGACAGGCTTAGGAAAATGAAGGAGAGTAGATGGGCAGGGAAGGTGCTCAGGTATTTGTATAGGAAGAGCGTGTACACGAAGCAGAGAAAGAGAACTAGGAGGCGCACAAGTAAATATGCGGCTGGCAGTGTGGGTGACACTGCAACAAGAAGCATTAAGTGAGAAGTCAGAAAGGCTGAGAGGATTTATTGGATGAAGGCGATGGAAAAGAAGCCGGCTCTCAGTAACTACCTAAAGGGCAAGAACGAAATAAGGTGGAAGAGGTTTTATGATAATTCAGGGGAAGTGCTTTATTGTTCGAAGCGAGGTCAGGTTGCCTGAGAACACGTAGTCACAAAGCGAGATTAAGTAAAGAAGAAGAACAATGTAGTACATGCTGTGGGGGAGTTAAGGAAATGATTAAACATGTTCTGATTGATTGCGGTGATATCCATCCAGGTACACGTGTGGGTACAAACCTACATGAGGCTTTGGGTTTCAGGGACAAACATGGAAAGCTGAACACGTCCACGATTTCGAGAAGCAACAGACAGTTAAAGTATTGATGGCAAAAAAGTAGAGATAATGGACAGGAAATAGTGGGGAAAAGCAGGTCATCCTGCCTGAACTAGGAAAGAGATGGGCCGTGTATTTATATTTTCTCAAGTTGTAATAAGGTCGATCTAACTGAAGTGAATAAGGCATTATTCGAATATAAGAAAGGTTTCGTTTTTTTTTTTCTTTCTATCCTGGTGGCACACATGTCACCGCCCCATTATATAGAGGATGCTCATAGCATCCTCGTTATAATGGGGCGGTGCCGGCTTCATGTGATCCGACTCTGCGTGCTGCCACGCTATTCCTCATTTTTACAAGAGGCTGTTGGATAATGCTATGCATTTTCGTGCTGAAGACACTTTGAAAATATTAGCAATGTCATAAACTGTTCCAAATGATTGCCCGTAACATTTTTGATCATACTAGTACTTGTACTCGGTAATGTGACGTAATTAAACAAAACGAGGTGTGTCCCGAGGCTAGTGCTAAAAGTCCCTTCTAAATCATATTACGCTTTTTTGCATGACACTATTATAATGCGGCGAAGGTGGCTTAAGCAGCGTTCTTCACGGGTTTGAGCAACGCCAACAAATTTTCTAACACTGCTACGCCCCTCCCACCCCCCATTTTTTATTTTTTCACGATGGGGTTAGAATTAGGCCACAACTTCTCAGCTCGTTTTCAAGGTACGTTCTAGCAGATAAAGTAAGAACAGCATGCGCCCATTGATACGCCGACAGCACCAGATATTTATCGCCAAAACGACGCAACTAATGCAACTTAAAGGCAGAAAAATGTTATATATGCCTTTGCTATAGCAACTTACGTGGCATCCGCTGGCATTTGCAGCACGTCGAATCTATTCGCGCGCAAATGACACGGTATGCGCTTTCAGCTCTAGCATGCCATAGCCACGTTTGCCGACTAGGAAGTTCATGCAAAGCAATGGTGGCTACAGCAACACACTTTTGTCTTGAAGTTGCGTCGTCTCGCTGATAGGTATCTGCTGCAGTCCGCGGACCGATAGGCGCGTGGCTTTGTTACTTTAGCAAGTCGATCACGTCTCACGAGTGCCCCGACCTAATGGGAATATATCTGACACCGTGGTGTAGGCTGAGGGCCTGCGTGCTTTGAATTGATTGATGATGTGAACTGCAGAAGACCAATGTGGCCTCTATTTTTTGCTGAAATTAGCGCAACTGAGAAAATTCTGAGGCTGGTCGGACATTTTGGCGCATCATGATGCGGTTTCAGCAAATTTCATGGTTTTGGCGGAGCTTGGAGCTGAAACGATTAGTATCACATTGGCACAGCTGTTGAACCTCTGTAGTGTGGATGGGCATATTGCAAAGACATTTAATTTTGACAATATCATCGGGCTTTAGTACCCTCTCACCCCCGCTGGTGGATATTTTTTTTTTTTTTCTTGGGAAGGTGGCAGCCCTACAGGAAATGCCCCGAATGGTTAAGCTTGTCTCAGCATCTAGGATGCAGCTATGCTGCATGCCAACGACGAGCTTGTAGTGTCATTGGAAGTCATCTCCGATTATTAGTTGACACGATGACAAAGAGCCAGTGAAAGACATGTCTCAAGGCAATGTGAAGAGTCCCAAATTTTTATAAGTCTAAATCCAGACAGACGATTCGTTGAGCGCAGTGTGAGGAAGGGAGTCGAGAGGATGGTCTCTTTCAACCGACATGGAAGCTAGGAAGGACGCAGATTTTAGCACCCATATCGACAAGATACAGTAGTGGATGTTGGTGCCACGATTGGCAGCGTGGCAGAGGTGACTGCCTGGGGCCGAGAACAGCGGTCACCGGCTCTGTTTGGCCGAATTATTTCCAGGTACGAACAAGGCTGTTTACATGTGACCCGTAACGACAGTGGTACTAGCAAATGCTATCGAGACTAGTAGAATGGCAGTCAAAGCAATTAGGGCTGAGGCAGCGAGTTTGTTGTGAAGTATGCGGCTGATTTGATCTGTAGACACAGACTTCACCAGTAATTTGCGCTAGTTTTCAGGTGAGCTCTTATCAGTAGCGAGGAGACTCGCATAACTACCTCCACTATAGTTGTGTGTAGGGTCAACAAAAAGTAGCCACAAGGGAAAACCAACGTCTATAATTTTGTCGGCCAACTGACCCAGAGATTCCAGTGTGGAGGATGCGGGAGACACCGCAAGAATCATGCGCACCTGTGTTGGAAGGCACTGCAGAAAAATTTCCCAAAGTGCATTGTTCGGTGACACAGCGAGATCAGGCACCACGGCTAAAAAAAAATTAAAAATTCAATTTTTCTATTTCTGAACTAGCCTGAACACTGTTTTGACAACGATCAGAATCAGCATAAGGAGTGCAATTAGAGCCTGCCGGATGCCCTGCGAAATTATTCGTGAATTTGAAGAATGGATGTAATGTCCATAAAGGCGGTCAGAAAGATGTCTCAAGGTTGTTTGCCATCTGTGCTAGTAATTTTTGACACACAATGAATCTTTAGCCCATTTCAAGATAGGAACTGTGCCACAGTTTCGTTTTAATACGTCTTGTCCAAATATGTTCAAAACAGACAACCGTAGCATGAAGAGTTTTTTAAAACTCTTCTAACAAGAAAACTTTATTGAGCACAAGCAGCCAGTGAGGAGGCCGGATATGCCTGGACGAGCTCCTTGGCCCCCTTGGCCACCTCATAGGCCCCCTGGATGAGCTGGCCTCCGTCGAGGCCACTGGTTGCCCAGCACTGCAGCTGATGAGCATTGCCCACCAGGCGAGCGAGGGCAGCATTGACTGCACCTGTGGTCTGCCCACCAAACAGAGAGCTCATGCCCAGCACTGCCTGCACACAGACACATTTCGAAGGCACCTTAGCATAAATAAACATATGCTTAAACTAACAAGACAAAATGCACTGCAAATACAATTTCATCCCATGTTTTCCTGCAGGCAAATGACCAAACCTCCCTTTGCTCGCCAAAGTACAGGCAGGTGTACAGTATGGATACACAACACAATAATGTTGCTAAAATAATATCTCTCTTTTGCATCACTTGCTAATGCACAGGCAGTACAGACCAACCGCAGACTGCAGAGGCAAAGGCGCTTTGTGGTTGTATCATGATGCAATAAAAGATACCCCGACAATGAATATTTGAGATATAGACATACGGCAAATATTGTATGCGTGATTTACATTTTTATCAAAAGATACTTGGAAACCTTCGCAATTAGAGTCTGGATGGTACAATCAAAGTTCATCCGAGTTTCACACGATGAATTCAGTGAACTCAGACTCGTACAAAGGTCACTTTAACGAGTATTTTAGAATAACGAATCTTTAGAAATTCCCTGCAGGTCTTCTAGTGCATTCTACGCAAAAATCTTTCATTTAAACAAACTTATGAATAGCGAATGTTTCGGTTCAACAAGCTCTGTCTGCAAACCTAGGCTCATTTTTTCGATCAATACAATGAAATATTGCACTCCATAGCACTGGCGTAGCCGATGCGTTCTGCCCCCAAATCACCCATGTGCATGCGGGAGACGAAACCACGTGTCCTTCGGTAGCTGTGCAGCTGTTAGACTTAGAAATCATTTCCAGTGTTTGTCTGGAACCGAAAGAAGAGCAGTGCAACAAAGAAGCCGTAATGACTGAACGAGGTTCGAATTCTATGTGCAGCCAGACCGTATTAGAAAGTTGTGAGACTTTGTCCCAGAGGCAGTGCTCAGAAACATAACTCTCTGGACAGCTTTGTCTCTTCTTGTGCTTTGAGGCTGCCTGTCCAATTGAAAATTACACCATTATTTAAAAAATCACTTGTGTTTCACATGTGTGACCCGATTTTTGCTGTGCCTACTTCTGTTCCGTATTCTAGTGAATATTCAAATTAGCGAACATTCAGTTAAGTCAAATATTACCTTGTGTCCCTTGAAGTTCACTCAAGTGAAAGTTCACTGTACTATTTAGGGACATTTCCAATAAACTACATTATAGAGGACGCATTTGATGAATGATAATGACTGCCACACACAGGCTATCGAAAGAAGAGGGCGGCCACCAGTGGGGCTCGAATGTCCAATTGAGATGGGAACAATATGTGGAAGTTAGAAAATGACAGAAAATGCATTCACACGGACCGAGACGGAGTGATGACAACAATGCATTTTTGAGAATTTTTGCAAAAAATGGCTGCCATAGTATATTATTTCCTTATCACACAATTTGCTTTAACATTTCACTTCATCTCAATGTTATTGCTTTCATTTTTATGCACTATACTTATCAGGCTATGCTTACATCATCATTTTGTTTGTATTTTTTCCCTTTTCCTTTATTATTTTCTGTTGAAGACTGCATGTCCTACTTCATCACAAAATTACACTATCCCACAAAAAAAAAAAAAAGGAAAAAAGGGAGAGAAGGTGACAGCATCACCTAAGAAGGCAGAGCAATAAATTCCACAGTAACCAATTGGAATGTTATGCAACTAAAGGACAGCAGCTAACTGGTTTAGCAAACATGACCGCTGCAGCTAGCAAAGTGATGTACCTTCGTGCAGTCTATAACATCATTGAAAACTTAGGGTTGAAAGCACAAGACGCACAAAGCTATCTGTTGAACGCCCCTGAAGAGATGAGTGCTTGCAACCACGTAGTATAGGGCAATGTACGGGACTCAAGGCATGTAGGCCAACTCTGGCAAAAAACGAGTATGCACTTCAGCCCTTTGCACAATCTCGAGGATAAAGAAGCCGCCTCGGACGTGTCACGAAAGGCTGAAAGAGACCCTGAAACAGTTTTGACAATTTTGTACAAACACAGAGGGCCTTTAGAGCAAGGTTTAAAAATCATTTACAGACCCACTTAAGCTCTCTGCATAAACTGTGTAGGTAACTTGTACAACCACGGCCGCTGGATAAAAGGATGGTGCAGCCTGTTGCGTTGCATCACAGTCAATGAGCGAGCGTGTCTTCTGAGCTGACAGTTGCAGCGACGTACTTTTTATTGTTGCGGTGCTGAAACTCACACCATCAAAGTGGATGAGACTGTGTTACAATGCAGTTGCATGAGGATTTCTGTGTGTCTGTGTGTGCTTTCTAGTGCTTTTTTTGTATATGATTGCGTGTGTGTGTGGGAGGGGGGGGGGTAGCTTGCCTCTTGCTTTCTGTGCTTTTAGTCGTGTGATGCCAGTTTTTTATTGGTGTGGCGCCGCGAAGCTGTTGTGTGTTGCTGAGCAGCTCGAACGTGAAAAAAGACGCTTTTTTGAAGTACAACGAATTCCCCTGCTGTCTACAATGTCAAGAAGCGTATCTGGATGCGTGAGCACTTACTTTTGTCACAAACCAGCGCTGAAGCAGACGTGCACCGCCGCCTCCATACATCAGCATTAAATCACCGTGTCAACTATTCCTTTCATGGGTGCGTACAAAGAAACAAGTTTAAAAGGCACCGGGGGCGTGCCCTCTACACACACGGCAGAATTCGAGACATCGTAGTGGTGCCTCTTTTGGGGTCGACCATTTTCACAGACGAACCGGCGACATGAAACCCTTTGACCTAGCTGTCGCCGTGGTATGTGCCGCACAATTACTAAGAATGTTCACAAAACAGGGAAGGATCCAAACAAGACGTGATGGAGGCTAAGATGACGTGGTGATCTTGGCAAAGAAGTTATGCTGTTCAAGCGGTTCGAGTGAGTCATGTAGTGCAGTAAGTTGATCTCGGAGAATTGAGTGATGCAGAGTACTGTTTTGAAAAGTGTCACTAGAACGATGCTCAGTGATGGAGTTGGTTTCAGTGTTTTCTTGAAGAGAAATATTCATGAAAACTTTGAAGAATTGTGGAGTACACATGTGTGGTGAATATTCAAGTCCTCTAAGTGTTCTGGCACAGTTCAAAACGCGTGAGATTGCATTTATAGCATAGTAAGTTCCTTCCTGTTGCTTTGAATGACCCTCTAAACGATTTTGTGACCTATAATTGACACCTGCTGAGTGTGCAAGCTTTTATGCTTGTACTGCCTTTACTGAGAATACGGTTTATTTACGTTGTAAACTCTTGGCTTCAACTCAGTGTCTGCACAACCGTGCCGTTGCTGGTACACTAAAAGGACCTACATTTAAAATGTACGTGCTTTTGTGGTGTGTATTAGTGGGCCGATACGTCAGTTCTTAAAATCTGCGCAGCGATAGCCTCGCCATGAACAAGATCAGTGACTCTTTTCATTTAAGGTGAGCCAAACGGGCAGCATTCATAAAGAGTATTGAGGCTTACCCTATGAAAGAATGGCCCTTCTAGAGCAAACTGTTCACATATACGAAGTGATAGGTACTTCTAACCACCATTCCCCGTTTTTGAAAAGTGCAGCGCAATGACACAAAGAAAGAATGGTTATGAGTACTATGAACCAGCTGGCCTAAACCAAAGTACTCCTCCTCCTATTGCATGCTGCTTTGGTGGCATGCAACAGACCCCACCACGTTTTTTATCCAGCAGCCATGTCACCACACTAAAGCTGCAAATCGCTGCAGATCAGAATGGCCCAGCCAAATGCATTGTCCACTGCCTACTTCGAGTGCATGACTCAAGGAAGTGCAATGTCACAGGCTGTTGTTTTAACATAACTACAAACAAATGTTGTTCATAATATTTAAAACTTTTTATAATTAGTTTTGGTTAGAAGTTAAGACACAAATAAAGCAAACACAATCATAATTTGTAAGTAGACTACAGGACTTCTGCTGCGCAGCACACGTCATAGGCGTGTCTGTAAGCTCTCGGGTGTGATAAGGTGGCGCGATCTAGTAAACCAGCCTAGAGATGCTCCTTTCTATGTACAATAAGCTCGATAAATAGCCACTGTGTCATAAATGTTTTCAAAATAAACACCAAACAGAATATGGACATTCTAATTGTGAAAATTATTTTTTAGGATTGATATGGTGAGCATTTTTAGCTTTGGATATAGCACTATTATTGGTGCATATTTAAATAATGTGATGGCAACAATGACAACGTTCCTAGATGTGAGCGTTTTCGTAGTTAGCGGTCTCTTGAGTCAATATATCAAGCAGCGTGTGAACTTGAGCTTGTTGGTACACATTTATAGCAAAAGACAGTGTGGAGACAACGAGGACAAAACAGATGAAATAGAGCTAGCGCCGACTACCAACAACTGCATTTATTTGTGCAGTGCAATTATATACGCTTCTAGAAATGGAAAAAAAAGAACTTCCGAGAGGTAGAAGATTTTGCTAGCATATGCTGTTATTTGTCACCGAAGCATGAAATTATCAACTGCAAAGATAGACAATCTCTTTGTCAGCAAGTATGATAGATGGGGAGCTGATATATGAGTGACCAGCAACATGGACAGCGAAGGCGTCATAATATCTTTTGCGGGCGGGTCATTCCATCAGAGATCAAACATGCATTGCAAATGGGATATAAAACTGAAAATCAGAACACAGAATCAAAGTTAGGAAGCTCTTATTTAAATGACACACAAATAACAAATATAGGCGCAAGAGTCGAGGACAAAGTAGGAAAACTACCGGGCAAAGACTGGGGGTATAGACTCCGCGCACTGAGACTGGCGCGCCGCCGCACACCCGTTAGAGAACACAAATGTTGAGCGCCCGAGCAGAACGAAACACTTCCCCAACGTTCGCTAGCACGTAGTTAATCTGAATCATGTACTGCTGCGTAGTCGATTGTACCAACAGGTACACACCGTGTCCTGCGGGAACGAAGTTCCAGAGTTTCTCGACTTGTCCCTGCTTTATTGGGCAGCAAAATAATACCCCTGTCACACGGGCACCCGCAAAGACCGTTTAACTC